TGTGTATATAAAAATATATATGGGATTAAATGTGTTGATGACGGTTGGGAGGAGATCATGAATCAGCTCTCAGTTGCTTCTCATCAGTGGTGTTGGAGTAGCTGAGGTCAGTCAGAAGTCAAAGTAGACTATTCTGTGTTAAGAGAACATCATGATCTACAGTGAGGGTACAGATCAGATGGAGGAGAGCTTTAGGCAGAAGACAAAGAAAGGTTAGAAGGTAAACAGAGGATGTGATTGGACAGCAAACCTACAAGCAGTTTTGAAGGTTAAAGATAATATCCAAGGTTATTATCTTTAAATAAAACAAATGTAGTAACAAAAACTAGAATTGAAAACATTTTAGTTAACTCAAATAGAATAAAAACTAGCCCTTGTAAAAACAAAGAAAAACTAACTGAAACTGCTATAATAATTTCTTTGTCTTTATTATAATTAGTGTTGCACCGATGCCATTTTTTTGGCTCCGATACCGATACCTGGCTGTGCAGTATCGGCCGATACCGATACCATGTGTTTGAAATTGGTGTGTGTGTTTTTATATATGAAGAACTGCATACTACTTGGATGTAAAATAATTGCCATCATGGCTTTGTCAAGCTGCTGCCTATCTTTGTGAAGCAGACTAATACAAAGTGAATCCAGTAGAACTTTTTATTGCCTACCTGGAATCAGTGACAATAGTTGAATAAACTTTGGCTCCCAAAGTTGCATCGATGCTCTATTTGTTGGTACTCACCGATTCTGATACCACCATTTTAGTACAGTATCCGGGACCTGCCCGATACTGGTATTGGTATCGGTGCAACACTATTTAGAATGTATTAATATGAAATCTAGTTACTGGTTGCTGTAACTAAGCATTTTCAAAAGATAAAAACTAAACTAGCTAACAAACATTAAAAAGGAATTCAAAGTAAAATAGAATTTAAAATCAGAAAATCAAAAGCTAAATGGAAAAATAAACTAATGGAAATTTCAAATCAATTAACAGAGAGTCTTTAAATGTGAAACATTAGAGTGAAGAGTAGAAATTTGATTCCCTGCTCTCTCGGTTTGTTTGCTGCAGGATTCAGACATTTGACGCATCCCTTTGTGGAGCTTTTGTGTCACCAGAAGCCCTGCAGCGTTTCTTCACTCACTGCCTCACCCAGATTTTCACCTACAACCCTCGACTGACAGGTAAAAACACAAAGTTTCTAGTTTGATATTTTCACTCTTCCTGAAACTTGGCTGCAGCTTTTTTCTTTTATCTTAAAATCCACAAAAGATTTTGCCTTTCGAAACCATCATAGTATTAAATGACCGACATGCCTCCTAAGTTTTAGAAGCATAAACATTTTGTTTGTCCTCAGTATCTGATGCTGTAACCTTACAGAATGGATGGACTGTGGGAAAAACCAGCCCCAGCCTTACCTCGCTTTACTGCAAGGTAAATGATCTGAGTTCTCAATAAATTTGGTACCTCTGCCGTCTGGAAAACTCTTAAGAACACTGAAATAATTCCAATTTGAAGGTGGAAACCTCATTCTTTAGGGATACTTTTCTGCAGAGGAGGATGGATAGGGTCATGTTTCAGGTGATCTTGGCCAACGATCTCCTTCCCTCAGAAAGGGCAATGAAGAATGATAGAGACCCGAAGCACAGGTCAGGGCTACTAACTAGTTGTTCTGTAAGAAGCATTTGAAGGACCTGGCCAGTCTCCAGATCTGACCTCAATTGAGAAGTAATACTAATTGAACTTTATTGATCCCACATTGAAGAAATTTACCTCTGCATTTAACCATCCCCAAGGGGATGGTTAAATGCAGAGGTGGTTAAATGCTGCCATCGTGGGGCGTCTGCGGAGCATTCAGGAGTTAAGGGTCTTGCTCAGAGATCAAGTGGCAGTCTGTGGTAGTGGGTTTTGAACTCACAACCTCAGGATTCCAAGCTCTATGCCCTAACCACTAGGCCGCCACTTGCCCCTTTGGTGAGAGCTGGGCATCTGTGTTGCACAGCAGGCAGGCCCAAAGCCCGAAGGATCTGGAGAAGATCTGTATGGAAACGTCTGATGTCTGTAACTGCAAAGAAAGGTTTATGGACCAAATATTAAGTTTCGATTTTCTTCAAAATCATCAACAATTTTTCTTCTGCATTTCTATTTTAGACTCTGAAAGTTAAAGAGAAGCTATGATAAAAATGACTTCCTCATTACACATTAAGAAGGAAAACCTGCCAAATGGGCCTTGTACCAAATACTATTACCTCCACTTGATGTAGAAGCAATACACCGTACTGACATGTTCATATAATACATCATATCTGCAATACATTTATTTGAGGAATGTTTTCAGATGACCTTTCTGCAGCTCTTTATCCCCCCGTTCATGTAAATATTGAAGTTCCTAATCTTTCTTAAAATATCAAATGAATATTCTTTATATGTTTAAATAGTTGGACCTACTGGGACTCCTTCATAGGGATTTTTTTCTTTGCTCTTCATGAGGAAGCAGAAGGTGTCACCGTATGAAGCTTTGTTCTCATGTCTTTCACAGCTGGCTGCCATCTTTAGCGTCGAGCAGCTGCTGCAACACCTGCAGCAGGTCCTGGAAACCCACGAGGTCAACTGGAAACATGTCCTGTGCTTTGTCTCCTCCCTGCTGGTTTATCATCAGTCAGCTCAGCCCCTCAAAGGTAAACACAGGAGAACATGACTGAATTCAAGCTACTGTGGTAAAATTGTAGAGAAACAATATCTACATTATGAATATATAGCTGAAAATCACTTATTACTCATTATAAATGGACAATGTTTGCAGGGAACTCCAGTTTTTTAGTTATATATATATATATATATATATAATGTTATCCCAGCATTCACAGATGTTTGACTTTCTAAAGTGTCCACTGCGTGTCTCTTTGCCAGAGTTGTTGTCCCGACTGCTGCAGTCTGCGTTCGAAGGCTATGACCTGGAGAAAATGATCACAGCCTTCTTGTTGGCTCGACAGGGAGCTCTGGAGGGCGCCGGCATCTTTCTGTCTTACAGCGACTGGTTCAAGGTTTCAGCTCAACTCCTCAGCTTCCTTTGCGTTTTTAGATGTACTGTACATTCATACAGCTCTCATCACATTCATCCCTTTCTAGATGCAGGAGTCCATCCACAGGGTTACATCCACGTTATGCATCTAATTTAATTTGCTTTAATGTCATTCATAAGAGAGCTGCAACATGGACACAATTCCTGACTTTCTTAAAGTACATTTTTAATCGTAGAGCTTCATCTCAGCATTTAAAGGGAAAAAGAGTTGAAAATAAGAACCGCCTAAAATAATCAACTTGTTTTTATTTTAATTTTTTCTTCTTTTTTTCATTAAATGGGTTAAATGCAGAGGAAACATTTAATTGGAAGGCGCAATGAACAGAGATCGCTACTATTCCAGGAGGAACAATAGAAGTAGTTCTTTTTTTTTCTCAAAACTCAGGGTAAACGTAGGTGAACTGAAAAAACTACAGCTGGAACTGTAGATCAGGAGGCAGCAGATGGTTTACCAGTGCAGAAATGTGTGGGTAGGTTATGGTGACCAGGTTACCAGTAGCTATGGTAACATGCAAAATATTCACCATCAGACTGAAATATGTTTGGATCCATTCTACAGTTAGAAATTCTAGGAACCACTAGTAAACCTGCAGATTGAGAGCGAAGTGCTCTGTTAGGGACATAAAGAACAATCAGATATCTGATATAAGATGGAGCTTGACCATTTAAGGCTTTATATGTGAGAAGGAGGTTTTTTAAATTCTATTCTGGATTTAACAGGAAGCCAATGAAGAGAACTTAATATAAGGGAAATATGATTCCTCTGTTTAATTTTCATCAGGAGGCTTTTAACTACAGTTTGTAGACTTCCTGATAGTAAAGAATTACAATAGTCAAGCCTTGAAGTAATAAATGCACGGACTAGCATCACCCCTGGACAGGATATTTCTAATTTTTGCAATATTCGGCAGATGAAAGAAATTTGTAGAAACCTCTTTGATATGGGATTTGATAACAGGTCCTGATAACACCTAGATTTTTTACTTTATTATCTGAGATCAATTTAAATCCATCCAAATGAGGTGACTGACTAATCAGCTTCTATTTTAAAGACAGTGGTCCAAAGACTATAACGTCTGTTTTGTCTGCATTCAGTCACAGAAACTTAAGAGTCATCCAGGTTTTTATATCTTCAAGACATGCCTGTAATTTATGTCATGGGTTAGTTTAATCTGGATTTATAGACAGATATAGCTGAGTGTCATCTGCATATTGTGTTAATTGCTTTCTAATAATTCTACCAATTGGGAGCATATATATAGTAAAGAAAATTGGTCCTAGCACTGATCCATGTGGTACTCCACAGATAACCCTGGAGCATGAAGAAGATTTATCATTAATGTGAAAAACTGAAATCTGTCAGATTAAGATGTCAACCAGCCTAATGCTGTTTCTTTAATTCCTACAAAATATTCAAGTCCTACTTAAAGAACATTATGATCAACTGTGTCAGATGCAGCACTGAGATAGAACAGGACAAGTACAGATACAAGTCCTTTATCTAAGGCCATGAGAATATCATTAGTGACTTTATCCAGAGCTGTTTCTGTGCTGTGATGAGTTAAAAAACCAAATTGTATATGTCTCTGTAACGGATATGTTAATCGCTCTTAAAATCGAGGTAAAAGTCAGAGGGAAGACAAATAATTTGGTTGGAATTTGGAACCCAAGGTAGCAGTCCGTGGGAGTGGGGTTTGAACTCAGAACCTCAGGATTCCAAGTGCAATGCCCTAACCACTAGGGCACCACTCCCCAAAGCAGGCGTCAGGACCGACACTGCCACCTCATTTCCACCAGCTGGGATACAAAACCATGCTTCCTGTTTGCAGGTTGGGTGACTTACCACTTGAGCTAGTCAGCCGCTAATGGTATCAATCTTATTTAAAAGAATCCCATCAAATCATTACTGCTTAGAGCAGGTGAGATAGACGGTTCAACAGATCTATGGCTCTGGGTGAGTTTTGCCACTGTATTAAAAGTAATTAAGATTATACCTAGTTTCCTCTATTAATGAAGAGAAATATGCTGCTCTTGCTATACGAAGGGTCATCCTGTTCAGCAGTAACTTGTTTTTTTACCAGACTAGATAGGATTCCTGTAGACATATAAGAATCGCCATTTTCTCTCCAGTTACCTAGCATTTTGTTTCAGAGCACACAGCTCTGCATTAAACCAGGGAGCCAGCTTTCTATTATTAGAGTTTATCTTTTTCGAAGAGGCTACATTGTCCAAGCAGAGAACGAGCAACCCCATCAACAAAATCACTGGTATGTGAAGGGAAATAAATTGGGAATGCTGCAGACAAACACAGAATCTCAGCTCTAGCTTAACTTCTATACGTACAATTCAGTGTTTGATTTTACTAGGTGTCATGAAACTTTAGTTTTTAAGATGCTCCACACACAAAACCAAAAAAGAAGATTGCATGTATAAGTTTCTTAAAACTCTAAAGCTGCACTGTATTAATTTCTCTTTATGCATTTTTCTTTTTTTATCAATTTAATTTTTTTTTAAGGTTTGGTAATTGTTTGGTGGGATGTGGATCTGATCATTTAAGGTTGATTAAGGATTTTTTTCTGCCTTTCTGCCTCAGATGTCCTTTTGCGGCTCTACTGGCTGCCATGCTAGCAGTAAGAAGTCTCTCGTGTTTCTGCTGAAGTTCCTCTCTGACCTGGTGCCCTTTGAGCCTCCACAGTATCTTAAGGTGAAATTAATTCCCTGAATGAATGGAGTCAAGTTCATTTGCTTTCAGAAACCTAAGATGTTTATTTGTTTTGAGGAGCAGGACAACCTAAAGACATACATTAGGTTTTTCAACATACATTAGGGGAATAAAACACACTGTCAACATTAGAGGGTGCATATTATTTGAACTAGATAGATTTTTCGATTTGGTAAAATTAAGTTCCTCCAATTCCTCCACATTTGCGATGTCATAATTATTTATATATGGCCACTTTGGCATCATTAAGTTAAAAGGGCCAGTTGACTTTGGCCAAAGTTTATTGTTTAACATTATTTAGTTATTGACAAATGTTCAAGAGCAAGACACGTTATATATTTGAAGTCCTATTCCCCTAAAAATAGTATCTGTAAATTGACCACAATTATTAGTTGTATAAAGCTGAAATGTTTTTCATCATTTAGAAAGACTCTCAAAGAATCTTATTTCCAGTCAGAGACTTTCTGATGGATGAAAAAAAGATTCAATTAAACCTACATTTTGAGAGGAGCTTCAACATTATTTTCTTAAATCATAAGGGAATAAACTAATCGAGCAAAAACTTTTAACTTCTTATTCAAAGTGCAATGAAGCTGTAACTTAATTTCTGACTTCTGAACCTGACTTAATTTCCTCCTAAAGGTTCATATCCTTCATCCTCCTTATGTTCCTGCTAAACACCGTGGCCTCCTCATGGAGTACATCACTCTGGCAAAGACCAGGCTTGCTGACCTCAAGGTAAAACACATCTGTGGTCATTCTATCTTCTTTCATTTTAGGTTTTTCTTTATTTAGATGGAGTTTAACACCTGAATAGATGGATGTCTGTCTTTAATGGTGCTGAGTCTGTTTGTTCATGCAGGAGCCGGTGGAGGACATGGGTTTGTATGAAGATGTTTCTTCTGGAGGTGCATCAGTGCAGGTAACAGCGACCCCCAGTGGTCAGACTTAGTTTTGATGTTGTGTTTTTTTTATATATATATATATATATATATATATATAAGTGTTGATTACCAGCTTTATAATCTGTGTTTCTGCTGCCTCAGTGCCAGGCTGCACAGGATGTGGAAAAAGCAGTGTCTTTGTTTGAAAGCACAGGCAGGATCTCTGCTACCGTCATGGAGGCCAGGTGAATCCTCACATCACAATGACACAAAGATGGAAGAAATTCAGGGATGCAAGTGCTGAATGATATTTGAAAGGATAAAGCAATAATGGAAATAAAATAATGGACATCACAAGAGGTCAAAGAGCAGCTAGAGCTACACTAAATGCAAGTCTATCTCAACAATAATACTGGCTCAACGCTAATAATGTTCGATTCAATTTAGCAAATTTATATTGTTCCACTTTATGTGAAAGACTGGTAAATAGAAGGCAGTATTGCACTTTATAAGTTATAGTTTGTTTAAACAGTCAGGTTCTTTTTAAAAACTCATATCTGCTTAGATAAAGTAGGGAGAAGGGAAGAATCAAGAACAGATCTGAAAATAAGTTTAACATTTAAAATTGAATAAGTGTCTTTGCCCTTAATTTGATCTGCCAATGAAATGTGTATTTTTGCCCCTATAAGATGGATATGCACTTGAAATAAGATGATGGTTTGTTTTTATGATTATTTCAGATGTAATCATCTTATCCCATTGGAAAATTGTCTTGCTGAGCTGTTCAAATCGAGGGAAAATTGACTTACTTATAGCTCAGTTTCTGCATTGATAAATAAGTGGTATAGGTGTGAAAATGTACTACTAAAATAATCCCACTTATATTCAGAGGATTGCAATGTCTTTACTCAGGTTTTTTTTATTTTTTATTATTACATCTCCTGTTATGTCTATGTTTGTTACATACAACTTGGATATTGTGTGTCAACATTTGACCATGGTGTCGTCAGACCATCCCTGCGACAAAGTTAATCCTGACTGAACGCAACACCAAATCAGTTCAGAGCATCATAAAGGCCAAATGACGCGTATATAATAACAAATATTCAAAATGAATGAACAAACTTCCTCTTTCTCCTTACAGTATTTTCCGGAGGCCATACTTTTTAACCCGATTCCTTCCTGCTTTGCTCAAGCCAAGAGTGGTGAGTATTTTCCACATAGTCCGCATTTCCTGCGTGAAACACTTAAAGTTATATTTACTTTATTTCAGCTCCCACTAAAACCTGATGCGCAGATGAATTTCATTGAAGCTCTGAAAAAGTAAGTTTTTAATCATGCTGTGTTTTAAGTTTGGTTTTTTTATGCATTTTAAAATATATTTTTTTTGAATACTTTGTGTTTTTCCTGATGAATCCCTTTATATTTTCTGTGGATTCTGTCTATTGTTTCATTTGTTTGTTGTATTCAGAGCAGATAAGATCCCAGCTGCCCAGTATTCATCGTATGTGGAGTCCTGTCAAAAACAAAGGCAGCAAAACAGTAGGCATTTTCTAATGAACCCTCTGAATCACAGGTGATGCATTCGTCTACAGTTTAAATTCAGGTGTTTATGATGTTTGTTTGTTTGTTTGTTTTTCAGAGACTGCTGCACATTCGGACACTAAAGAAGATCCATTTGACATCCTGAAAGTTCAGCTGAGGGACTTCACAGAGCTGGTTGTTGGAGGAAACAATGGAGGTATGTAGTCCCACTCAAACAATTCTGTCAACAATAATCAGTAGGTAATCAGTAATCAGTGCTGGTTGTTTATTCTCAGAGATGTCAGCTCAGCTGTCCAGGATCTCCCACACTTTAAGCGTCATCTTTCCTGGTTCCCCTGATGAGCTCATGAGGCAAACAGTTGTCACGCTGAATACAGACTGCACCCAGTTGCCTGAGCTTCATGTAAAAGTAGGCTTTGATTGAAAAACAAAGAACTGGTTAAGTTGTGTTTTAAAGTTGTGATCACAGAGATTTCTTGGTTTTTATCATCAGGTTGTTAATTTAATCCTGCGAACTTTCTGCCAAAGCCTGTTGAACGCTTCTCGAGGAAATCCTCCTAATAAGTAAGTGGGTTTCTTTACTTTAACAGACTCCCTCTAAATTCAACTGTTCAGAAATATTTGGCTGTTTTTTGGTTTTAAGAAAGGGATCAATCTTTTTTTCATCTCACAGTAAATACAGTAATTTAATCTATTTTGAAGATTATAAAATGAACCTTTTTAATTGCACATTTTTTCTAAATACTTTTTATGACTCAGAAACGGTTTTACATTTTCCTAATGTAGAAATGGTTGTATTATTTAAAACATTTTCTTTTCGTCATGATTAAAAACTGATGAAATAATTAGATTGAATTTTTAAAGTAAAGAAAAAAAGAGCTAGAAAAAGAAATAGTTTCTTCCTTTATGAATTTGGTGTTGAAACTCACCAATATAATCAATTAATTATCTTAAATAGTTTTTTTAAACCAATTTAATGCTAATTGATTTGGACATATTTGTTTACATTTTCAGACAGTGTTCGTGGGGCTGCAGGTTTGTCAGCTTGCTGCTTGACAACAGACACCTTCTCTCCAGCGTAGCACACAGACTCTGGGACCTGTTTCACAATCAGGTACATAAATCAACATTTAAACTTCACTGTGCTATCTGCTCCTTCTCTGATAACATATCAACATTATATAAAGCAGGAAATTTTTAATTTAATTATCTGTATTTATATTTGACCAATTCACTACACATTTAGTCTCAAGGCAGTTTAAAAAAAGGCATCTTCTGTCAAGTCTGATTCAGTTATTTACACTCTAATTGGAAAGTTAATCAAAGACAGCCAGGTTCAGTTTATTCTTCTGTTTCCAAGGAAGTTCAGCTGATTCTATTTATTACTTCTTCTACCTAAAGGGAGCTTCATTGAGTGCTTTACACATTCTTGGCCTGGCAGCCTTCATGGTCCACATTCAGGCCTCCATGGCAGAAGGTCCTCTGGTTCAGCTGGTGCCACACAGGCAACATCAGCCAGTACCTTTGGCTGATGCTCTCAGCTCAGCAGTTCTTTGCAACACACACATCAACATGCTCTTCTCTGTCAGGTAAGGTCATTCAGTTCAGTTCATCAATTAATGCTGATTCACAGCAGCAGATGTATCAAGGGGTTTTACCAAAAGGTTCTGTTGAAGCCAATCAGGTAGATTGTGTTTATAGAGGCAGTGATTTGCAAAGTGATATAAATAAACAAATTATAAGCAGCTGCCTGTGGAGATAATTTCACCTGTTTCAAATGTATTGGTAAACATTTTAGTTTGAATTATAATATAAATTATTCTAAAGAAGTGAATAAGTCAGGCATCATCCTGTGTCAGCAGGTCAGTGAGATCTCTGAACAGACAGATCTCTCTCCTCATTCTTCCATTGGAGATGTTCTCCTGCAGAGCTATGGCTGCTTCCACATACTCCTTTAAGCTTGGTTTATGCTTCCTGCTTCCACAAGTTCTGCGTGGTGAAGTTGCAAAGGTTTGCAAATGTAAATATCTAGAGCCATCCCTTGATTTAACCAATAAATATTAATATCAACATTTTTTGGGGAAAAACTCCAGGAAAGAAATTGCTGTGGCTCTTCAATGGCATGGGCGTCTTTTCTCTGTGGAAACTGAGCCACCCGTCACAGTGTCTGCAGCATTTATATTGTGTGCGGCTTTTCCCCTGTCCCAACTGACTCTGGGGGGCAGGGCATGTTCAGCAGAAACAGCAAGCTGACACCTCCACACAACACGAGGAAGTAGAAAACACAGCCGTTTACAAATTTATCAAGCCTCTTCATGTCGTTCGAGAGCCACAGCAGTTTCTTTTTCACAATGTGTTGATAGTGATTTTATTTATAGACTTAAATCACAGGATGTCTGTAGATGTTTACATTTGTGAACCCTTGCCAGCAGGAGCTGCTGCTTGCTCTCCATGTTTTTCACATGGATCCATCCTCGTAGTTACAAATTTTCCTAGGTGCTTTGTGCGGAAATCCTGTCCTCATGGAGTCCGCCCGGAGGGGCGTGGGCGCGTCAAGCATGAACAAAGCTTTATGAGCCCTTCACACAGCTAATTATGGACACCTGTGATAATCTACGGCTTTTCAACATTATTAATAATTAAATCTGACTTGTCTAGAATTAATCTGCTCATCCAACACCCTTTGTTTTTTTAGTTTAAAATTAAGGTGTTTCTGAGAATATATTCATGCTTCTTGGTGCAAAGACTGCAAAGTTTATTTATGTGACTAAAACAAAAGAATGTTTACAATTTACATTTCAATAAGCTGTCAGTCTGCAGTAATCACAGACTGATAGAGCTTTGTCTCACCGTTTTCAGTGGTGATAAAAGTACACACAATTGTTACTTAAGTAGAAGTATAGATACTTAAAAACACTCTGGTAAAAGTTGAAGTATCAACTTGACCTCTTTACTCAAATAAAAGTGAAAAAGTATGTGCTCCAAAAACTACTTAAAGTATAAAAGTATAAAGTAACCTTTAAAAAAAACTACCAGATGCCACTATGTGAATTGAAAGCTCAATTTTTCGACCATTTCAAAAAGTCCTTTGAGATAGGACCAAGGATGAGGGAGGTCTGGTTGGTCTCCATCTCCCGATACGCTCTTGCTGTGTCCGAACTTTTAGACATTTCAACATCTTTTTCTGCATCCAACATTGTAGCATGGCATAGACAATTCACGTTTACAGTTTGAAGAACACCTGCTTGCTTCTGATGATTTCCTTTAGCTAATCAATGAGTGTTTGCGTTATGTGACTCATCCAATTACACTAGTTTTCACTAGATGTGCATGGATCCAATGATCTGCATTGGATGGAGCACATGACATGAAATGAATATTTATAAACATTAAACCGTAGCCAAGAATAATGAGTAACGTTTGTTTTAAAAATATAAGGAAATAGAAAGTACAGATACTTGTTTGAAAATGTAATAAGTAGAAGTCAGAGGTAGGAAGGAAAATAAGTAATGGAGTAAAGTATAGATACCTAAAAAGTTTACCTCAGTACAGTAATTAAGTATTTGTACTTTGTTACTTGACACCTCTGCTGTTCTTCTCTGGTTTTTACCAGGCTCGGTGTGGCTGCTGTGTGCTATGGACTCTGCAGAGGAGACTCACCATCTCCACAGCAGCAGCAGCAGGAGTATATCCCAAGCAGCCTTTATAAAAAGGTACAATTTCTGTTGCTTCTGTCACTGTCAGCCTGAAAAAATTCAGAGCTATTATTGTGGTTTTTTTTGCACATCTATGAAAATTAAATTGCTATGTTTTTCTTTTTTTGTTGTCTTTGTCCAGCTGTTGTATCTCATTCCAAGGTTGTTCCCTGAGGCCAGAAGAAGCTCTGGATCTGTTTGCCCTGATGAACAGCAGGATGGTTCAGACCCCCTGTGGAGCAGCATCACACATGACCTAAGTAACTGGAAGAAGACTGTCCTGAATCTCTGGAAGCATGCTGCCTTCCAGCAGCTGGAGCAGATGCCACAGTTTAGGGTGAGATCGAATCTCTCGTTCAGTGTTGCTGAATTATTGGTTTGTGCGAAGCTCAGAACTGAAGCTGCACCTCTTCTTGTTGTATTTATGGATTTCAACATTTACGGAAATTTTTCAAGTAGCAAATCTAAACTTCAGTTTTCAGAGTAAGAATTATTCTGATTTACATGCATTGAAAAGTTTTGCTCACCATTTAAGAAAGTTAAGCATGACACTTTGGCTTGAGATATTGAAGAGTTTCTTTTCTGCAATAAACTTTGGCCATTAAAAATAATTTTTTAACTGATTAGTTTTCATGACTGACTCCAATACTAATGAACCTTTGTTTTTGTCCAGTTATGTTTTTCAGAGTGGCTGAATTATGAGCTTAGAGTCCAAAGACATGAAGACATCTTGTCAGACTCTCAGCGGTATGACGAGGAACTCACTGATGCTTCTAAAGAAACAGCTGAAATACATCAAGATTTAATTTGACAATATATATAAACAATACTTTCAAAATTTTTCATTCTCCAAACATTTTGGTACAAACTTTTGACAGAAATTCGTATTTATGAATGGATATTTTTACATGTCAATTGGGAGCATGTATAATATAGAGTATGCTTTTAGTCTGAATAATCAGATGACATTCCTAGGAACTTTAATGACCATTCAAGTAGGGCTGGGTGATATGACCTCAAACTAATATCACTATAAATTGGTCAGTTTTACCTCGATAATGAGGTAAAACTGACAGGTATTTCCTATCAGAAATAAAGGCATTTGCAAATGCAACTGATACATTTAGAAATTATTTATTGAATAAATCACATTACGTGTTGCTTACGCATTACATATCAAAGTCAAATTTTTGTGCTAAGGTAATGTAGCATTTTGCACATCTTTGAAATCAATAGCATGGGTGTGCTGTAGGTGGTTGAGGATGGATCTTTATTTTGGATAATCCACAAAGTTTTCAGACAATCTTTGCATTTTGTGTTCTTTTCTCAATATCTATGGCATAATTTTGCTGCCACCGACCCGAGCGTGCAGTGAGAAGAATGTGCATCATTTAAACTCTCACACCCTAACTCAAAACCAGTCAACTGCACACTCTACTCTGACAATGGTCTCTCGAATTCTTCTCAGCGCGCGCAGCCTCATTTCTGCTCTCACTCGGCGCCACGGGATCGACTGATGTAATTTTGTTTACAGCTGTGTTAGATGCTTCTTCATTCTTTCTGACTGGATGGGTGGAGTCACATGATTACACACCTGCTGCAGCGTCTTAAAGGGGAAGGAAATACCTGACACCAGCTTACACAGGCAAAACAGCAGAAGTTTCTTTATTTAACTGACATGGGAAAATTTTCGCCAGTTATCGTAGTGAATGACTGTATCGGTAAAAATCCAGTTTGTCACCCTGCCCTACTTTCAAGGTCTGTGTGCCTGATTGAGAAAAACTTCATCAGTGCAGACAGAGCATCTGTATAGAGCAGAGCGGGAGATCAGGTAAAGTTATCGGGCCAATATGGCATATGTGTGGTGTTGATCTCCTGGAATTTTTTAGTCTCTACAAAGAACATGCGTTGCATTCTGACTGAGCAGGAGATAACTAAGGATGCATCAGAATCAGTTGTGTATGATGTTTCTGCTGGAAAATTATCAGGAAAAAAATGATCATCCCACCACAGCTAGAAATGTCATGCAGCTTCATACTGTGGAGTACAATGGCACAACATATTTGAGGACACAGACAAACTGAGAGTACAAAATAAGTTATTTTTATTTATTTTGTAGTTTACTCTCTTTCAAAAACCCTCTTTCTCAAGACAGCTGTGGGGATTTGATGTAGAGAAAAAAACAGAATTAAATATCCTCAGCTTCCGTGTCCAAAAGAAAGGAAAAGAGAAAAAGAACAAAACAAAGTATCAACAGAAAGTTGGAATGGGTGAGCCGATCAAAAACAACAAAACAGTACAGCATGGGGCCAACCCTATACAGGGCCGTTCGAAGCCCCTACTAGTACTGGACTACAAAATATAAACTACTAAAGAAAAAAATAAAGAATCGAAAACAGTACAGCCGGTCCCACCAGGTCGAAATCAAAATGAAAACAGTTTCCAAGCAAAGGCTAACAAAATATACCGCATGGCAGCTTGGAGGTGTCGGTTGCGGCCTACAGTAGCTGGAGACAGGTGCGCCTTCTCCGTGGTG